AAAAAAAAAAAAAAAAAAAAAAAAAAAAAGAAGTTACGTAGCTTGCTCATAAGAACAGAACTCATAGTGACTAAGCCAGGACTCAAACTGAAGACTGAGGAAATCAAACTCAGAGTTTTTAACTATGTGTCCCTTACAGTAGACTAGAAACAGACTGTAGAAGAGCCATCTAGTCTTTCATGCTGCTTCACGAACATGGGCTGGGTCACTGGCCGTCTTGGGTGCATTGCATAGTCCTTCAACCCTACCTCCTCCTCCAGCCTCAGGAAAATCCTCCTGGTTTTTGCAGGCTTCCCTCAGCTTCATGGAGAAGCAGCTTGAAAATGTCTTGGGTCAGCATGTATCTCATCGTCCCATTTCATCCTGTGATTTCTCTGAGGTCACACCGTGGGTCACCATGGCACGGCGTTCTCACACAGACAGCTCAAAACATAGGGAGTTAACCCTGAGGCCACTCCTGGCCAGTGGCAGAAGGGAGCTGGTGAATGTTTCTTTCGTCCCCGCCGTGGGCTTTCTGAAACACACTCCTAGGACTCCTCAGGAAGGCCCACAGGGTAGAGCCCTGGCCCAGCCTGTAGCCAACCCAGCAGCACATCCTACACCGTCTTCCTTTCCTCCCTGTCTCCTCCTTGCTTGTCCCTCATCCCTACTCCCTGGAACCACATTCCCAAGGAAAGTGGGTTTGAAAGCCTTTGTCTCAGCAGTGACACAGAGAAGTGCTCCTGGCTCACGAGAATCAGTCCGTCCACTCACGTCTTGCTCTGTTACTGACCACGGTGATTCTCCTCTCTGGTTCTGCTCAGTGTTTGTCATCCTGGAGACATCAAGAGATCCTGAACTCCCTTCCTTGTCTCAAAGTCACTGCTGATTAAAATGTCCCAAGGGGGCAGAAAGCACAACTAATTTCTCTGAGCCAAAGGCTTAGTAAAGGCGAGGCTTTTATAAGGCAGATGAAGACGTCAATTTAAACAGAAAATAGAAGTTGTTTTGGGGAGGCCCTCGCAGGACATACAAAGTGCACAAAGATCAGCGCTGGCGCCTAACTGCAGGCTGTGGGCTGTTTCCCACCTGCTCCCACCAGCCTCCCAGAAACTCCTTCCCTGTGGCAGGCAAGGTTCCAGACGACTCCTTTTCCTTAAACCGTTGCTGCTTTTATCCAATCTCATGGCCTCTTGTCCCCTCCCAACCCATAGTCCTATGTGCAGCCGCGTTGTCACTGTCAGCCTGGGGAGATCAGGAAGGCGACACTGGAGAGAGAATCCCAGGGCAGCCGTGCTGAGCCCGCCTGAGCACCCGCCACACTCCCATCTCCTGTCCCTCCCGTCTAGAGCGCGCCAGCGACTCTCCCAGCCCTGAGACGAGGTTTATTCATTTTTGCGATGTTTATGTAGAGTCGATTTGGTATGAAGGCCTTCTGTTAAAATGTGTTTTCCTGGCTTCAGTTATTTTCACCCTGTTGACCGTTACTTTGCATTTGGATGTCATCATTTACTCTTTAGTTCAAAGAACTCTAGAATTCAATGGAAGTCATGATACCTATGAAACATAATAAATAAAATACTTAGGACTAACCCTTTCTTCTTGTTTAAAATTAAATCTAATAATGATGTAACGATGCCAACAAAGACCTTAAGCCACTGTAGCCGCATCACCTCGGTGGCCACTGCTTTGCAGGGCTGTGACCCAGGCTACGGAGCCCTGGGGCATTTGGAGCTACACTAAGAGATCCCAAATCCAAACGTAATTGGTAGTCAGAATGCTTAGTACCTATTGTACACATAGATATGACTTTTTTTTTTTGTAGAATCTGTTGTAATTCATAGGATGTAAACCCATAAATATACTTTAAAATTTTTCTTTTAGTTCCATAGGTATTATAGTGGTAGTGGAAGTAGTATAAAAACATTTAAAATGAGGGCCTAGTGCTTCCAGAGTTTAGGGTAATTGGTATTATGGAATAAGTCCCCAAGATAAGAGACAGAAGATCTAGGCCCATGTGCTAAATTCAGGCACTAGTGTGGTTGACCACCTTAGGTAACGTATTTGTCTTGGTGAACCTGTTCCTTTGACTTCAAGAAAATAACCAAAACCACATCAAAGAGCTTTTTTTCTGTGTATGTGTGTACAGTACTACGCCCTTCACAATAAGCTACATCTGCAGCCATTTTTGTATTTTTTATTTGGAGACAGAGTCTTGCAAAGTCACTAAGCTGCCCAGATTGAGTTTGAAGTTGTGATCCTCCAACCTCAGCCTCCCTGACTGCTGGGATTACAGGTCTGTGCCACCACACCTGGCTCAATGTCATAGAGCTTTTCTAAGAAATATAAATCATACCATATTTTGTTTAAGCCTTTTTAAAATGTGACAAAGATTCTGAGATTTCATATTAAAAAGTTCCTCAGGTAATTCTTAAACATAGGTACGTTTGAAATAATGTACACATTAATAAAATGTAGTCTCAGTTATTTTTACAATTGTAAACTGCTATAGAAATATAAAATGTTAGGGCTGGAGACATAAGCTCCATGGTAGAGCATTTGCCTAGCATGTGTGAGGCCCTGGATTCAATCTCCACTACTGGAGGGAGAGAGACAGAGAGAGAGAGAGAGAGAGAGAGAGAGAGAGAGAGAATAATATTAATAATGAGGAAACCTAACCATTTCATTAAACTAATGTTCAAGGAATAGTCTTTTAACAACACACACTCGCGCCCCTGGCCGCTAGGGTGTCTCACAGGTAAGTGCTGCTAAATAGTACATAGCAAC